AAGTTTTCATTGTGGCTCACATATGTTGTGCTGAAGTTGAAGTGAAGCGCAGCAAGAAACAGTAAACAAATCCAGCCATGCGCGAAATTCTAACGAATGGCCTACAGCCCAGCGACAAAATTGTTTATTAAGGGCCTGTTCGCAATACGTGAAATTTTGTTTGCATTGCAAGAAAACATCTCAACGCGAAAACATTTTCATTTTCATTTTCCCAACAAAACCAGAAGTTATTGTTGACCAGCCACAATCAGATTTTGCATGGCAAGAAACAGCAAAGAAGGGCGATTAAAACATTTCGCAGGGGGATTTTAATTTACGATCAGTCCTTGACCAGAAACGACATGAAAGAAAACGCACTGTCACGAAATCTCGATATCTATTTCGATTAATTGACATTTGTGGTTACACAAATAATTCGCACGTCTCAGGAGCGAGCGCTATTACGAAACAAATAATTCGCTGTTTCAAAATTTTCAATTTTTTTGCAAATACACAACCAATTTTTTTCGGTCTAGTGCGAACAGGGCCTTAGACACAGTTTCTGTTATCACCAACACTTCACAAGCACGGATGGTTTGTCGCGACTTGACAAATTTTAGCCGAAGCGGACAAATTTTCAAACGCACCGCCGACAAAATTTATCCCGGGTAAAACCTTGACAAAATCGACTAAACAATCAAAACCGTGATAAACTTGTCGATCATTACCAGTGCGGTAAAAGACTCAAGATGAATCCTGGTAATTAGTATTTGAATCCACTGGCAAATTTTGAGCAGGCTAGGCGCTGGATGCAGCTGAGGCAATATAGAGCGGTGATGCAATTTTCCACTTTAGCAGTCCATCAATAAGGTAGTAGATGTGGCACAGGATCCAGAAGTGCCCACTAAAAGCAAGGGGAAAGGAAAAGCTAAATTGAATAAAATTACAGTGAAGTATCGTATCGGTGTTAATTTTGGCTATTAACCGAATTTTAGCAGCTTCGATATTTTAGTGCGGGTGCAACAGAGGAGACAAAAATTTGACCTTTGATTTTGTCGGGACAATTCTAGGTTTGCCTGCTAGTGCGGTAGGCCCTAAATACTGAAATGAGTCCATTTTTACTCGACATCTTTCGTCGCGTTGCCGACCGCTAAAGGTCCCTAAATGCTCATATAAATGGTTTAAACATTTGACCAATATTCGTTCGACAAAAGTTGAACGGATGTTGGGCAAAATTAATGTTGAACGCAAAAACAAAATTGAGCGGCGGCCTTTTATAAAGCCTTACACTGTACAAAGGTCTTACAGAGGCCTTACAAAGGAAAAGTTGAATCGATGTTGAATGAAAGTTTAAACCGATTTAAACTTGATTCAACACGCTTTCAACAGCTTTCAACATTTTTTACGTTTTCAACAATGTTGAAAAAACGCACTGAAAATTAGGTTCAACAAATTGTTCAATTCATGCTGAAGTAAAATATTAAAATCTTTTAAACGGGCTTTAATACAGAATAGCTGTCTGCAAACTTTTTAAGTATAAATTCAAACACATTCAGTACAATTTTTAACTCATTCATTATATCTGTGTACTGAATAAGTTTGTTTTTGATGAGCTGTCACATTACGGATTGATGATTGGACAGTTTTTACTTTCTGAGTATGATAAGCATACTCAACAAGTTAAAAGTTAGCTGATTGGCTAATTTTGCACCAGTTAGTTCATTCCAGATTCTTTATTGGCATTCCAAAAAAGGTTTTAGCCAGTGTTTGATGTAATTTGACTCTTGGCAGGAGCTTCATGTGCAGTAGTTCAGTCTCTTGATGATTTGTATACTCGCATGAGCTCTTGTTTTGAGCAAGAAAATAAAAAATGGCTCTAACGATAGTTGAAAGATAGCTAAATCTCTCTGCTTTTCTCGTCATGAGGCTCACTTTCTAGATTTTCCTGATGCTTCAATGATTCCTCAACCATATAAATGCTACAGGCTCAAGAACAATTCACGCAACCCAAATGCTAATGTCCACTCTAACTATGGAGACTTGAAATAATTCGCCCAGGTTAAGCTGAGCTGGTGTTTATGGAGTTTTTCCAGGTCTAAACAACATTCGGTCAGCCGGCCATACAGTGTACGAATGTAAGCTGTCGTAATATCTTGTCAAATTTTTCTTGTTTAACTATTAAAGAGATCCTTTCCCAATTTGCATTTGAACGAAAAAGAGTTCATGCGGAACTTTAATTTACCAAATTAGCATCCGTTCTCGCCAAGTTTTCTTCGTTTTTACGCCTGAGCAAAAACGCAAAGAAACTTCGTCTTCAAACGGGCCGAAGACAAATGTTTGGCTAGTACAGCGTCAAATGATTTCGCAGATGCAAGTTTTGAAGGTAATTTTTCAAAAAGGTCTTTCGTATCATAGCGCAGCGCCAATAACGTAAGCGCAGAAACGAACTATTTAAACGCGACAAAGTGATTCTAGCTGCTTCTTTCGATATCTTGCGACATGATCTACTAAAACAAAATTAAAAACATTACTGTATTCCTTAACTAAAAAATTCAGGATATGTAAAGCTTCAAAGCACCTCTGTCAATCCACTAGCCGTCATACTTTAATTTAACTCTTTTATCGGCAGTTGTGTCGGTAAAGACTTTGCACTTAAGAACATAAAGGCCAAAGTTGACTAGAGAATCTTGCAGTTAAATTAAAGAAAATAGCGATAAGAAACTATGTCAATTCAATTCAAAAGGAAAGCTTTTGTTATCTGCCTTATTAAACAATTATTTACCCACGACAGACCCTGTTAGGTGTTAGAATCGACAAATCGATGTCGGATTTCTATTAGAGAAAAGAAATATATCGGGATGGAAATTTTAGCGAGTTTAATGCCTGCAGGGAAAGATATGTATTCAGGCATATATTCGTCTAAAAATAAAGCTACTTAGCCGCCCGCTGTATCAACATGACAGTGCATATTTCAGAGCCGTATAACAATTTCAAAGTCATGTATCTGTGAAATATGCAAGGGAACTATTTGCATGCAATGAAGGTAAGAGAGAAGGTTATGAGATAAGAATTAAATTGACAAGGCCACGGTTCCATAAAGGAATTTTGACAATAGAGTGACAGGCGTCGTGCTCTTTCTCGTAATTATGTATACTAAGAAAACACGGTGAAGTGAAATGTTGACGCCATACCAAGTTTTCCTGCAACCTAAAAGGTTGTTTTAATAGGCTGAGTTGTGCAAGGATCCCGCGGCGAGTTCTGTTTTAATTTCTAGTCGTCAAGTAGTTCATCTAATGCAGGTGAAACTGTATTTTTCGATTCCTTTTTCTTCCATCAACGAAGTTTACGAGCGCTTTCTATTTCGCCAACTCTAACTGAAGTTCTCAGATATCGTTTAGGCTGAATAATAGATGGAGTTTACCAAGCAACGGTTATTCTTTGTCGAAAAAAAGGCACTTATAGGTTTTTCAATCTTTCATTTATTACACATAAAAGATGCCTGGAATTTTTACGTTATCATCCCTTGTTTCATCTATGCGAACAACATTCTGTCTGTCTACACTTTCTGTGCATTGTAACGATCAACCACTAATCAATGAAAACCTTTGGTATGAGAAGATTCTTGGCCCTCCTGCGTTACAAGAAGCCTTTCAGTTCAACTATTACTAATTTTTTTTCAATTATTAGACATAACTGCGTTCTGTTTGCACAGTGCATTATTTTTTCTCGAGCTAATTGATTCTACTGAAGGTCCGTCATTGACCCACAGCTGCTCCTGATTATCCAAATTACCACAAATTCGCAAAGAAATAATATGACATACATATAGCACTATTTTCCCAAACTCCCCCAGGTTTCCTACATTTTTCTACATTACAAATCTACATTCCACCGAAGGCAACTTTCTCTAAGTTTTTCGTCTTCCTGTGCCTGAGACCAGGAGGTTAATTAAGTATTCAAATGTGGATTAAACTACGGAGCACCTGCATTAACACTCTACCTCCAGAAAACTTGAGAAACTGCAAAGCCTCCTTTTTGAACTAATCTTGATTTTCCGCGCGTAAAGCAGATTTCCAGCTTTTTTTTTCTCAAGTTGATGAATCAAAATCATCGGAGAAATCGAAGAAAAAATTGGTTTAAATTATAGGAACGGACTGTTGATGGCTGTGTTTGTTATATGATCACTTTTGTCGATCGCATACTATTTTGAACACTACCTGATGTAGATATCCATTACAACAACTTCTCGACACAAACTTTCTTTTAAAAGTTGCTCGAAAGAGGGTCCGTTATCTTTTAATGTCTTATCGCGTGCAGTTTACGTTTATGTGCGTGTGAAATTCCCACGGTGACAGCATGTTACCCCAAACGCCATTGACAACCGGTTAGAGTGAAGGCGTTTGTTATGATGAGGATTAGAGTTTCACGCAATATGTCCCAATGCGATGGATAAAGAAGCAATTATCCCTAGATTAATTACGTTATGGGTTACATTCTTACAAAAATAGTATAACCCTCACACACATCATGTAAAATAAGACTTGCTTTAAGGCCAAATAGCTACCAAACGGTGTTCGTTAGTTTGACCTCTGCCTCATTTGAGCCTTAATTAGTTTTTAGTGACTTTCAAAGCGGAAGGCACGAGCCCGTGTTGTACGTGGATGGATTATTAATATGAGTCATGCTGGATTTCAATTCATCCTAAGCCCCAAACATGCAAACATTTAAGTTTGATATTGCTGTCCGGCTGTCTCGAGGAGATGCGTGCCCGATACCCGCATTAATATTCAAAACAAATCATCTTGAAATAGTCAAATAAAGGACTGATCAGTATTAAACTCAGTAGTTCATCAAGTTCATCAGGCTCGGGCCTCTGAAATTTCAAACCGTTGGACGAGGGAAGCAAGGTTGTCAAGCTTCTCTAGAGGTATACGGTGTCTCTTAGTCTACATCAACCAGAATAAACAATTGGAGCATTGAAGTTCAAATGTATTTATTTTTCTTATTTTCTCTTCTTTTAGAGCTAAGAGATTACAAGTCTTTAAGGTGGCAGTGGTCTCCCATACATTCTATCGCAGGTACATTGTTATGTATTGTCAAAAAATTTAGAGGGGAATAAGTTGATGTTGCGAATTCAAGGGGAGATTGATTTTCTGTTCCCAAAAAAAAATTCTCTATATGTGCCATGGTGTCTCTACATACTATATCGTTCATTATCTCAAGTGCTATTTTTGTTGTACCAGGTATCAAACTGGGAATGAAAGACTAAGTCAAATGAAATCGTTAGTGCTACCGCTTCTTTCTGATAATCTGTGCTAACTTCGAGTCTAAACCTAAGCATTACCTTCACTTTGATTCTTAGATTCATTGTCAATCACAAAGTTATAACTATTTATCAAGAACCTCGAAATGTGCTTTTGCTTGCCTGTTCCTGTTTCCAGCAATTCCTTTCGGCCTTTTCACTGCTCTGTTGACGTCCAGGAACATCAGTTCAAACCAGAGTGAGCTTGATTTAAAAAAAAAACTCTTAGAGTTTTTCCCTATAAATTCGCAATCGATCTCTCTCACTACTCACAGGTTCACCTTTATCCAGTAAATGTTTAGCAGATATGAGGGCGTGTGGTTCATTTTATCTTGAAAACGAGGTTGCTATCAGATAAGTTTTAAGGCCTGCGGCTGTTAACTCGCGATTAATCAAATAGTAATATCAGGGTTATCCTATCTAACTTTAGCAACAGGAAAACAGAAACCAAAGATGACGTTAAAAGAGACCGAGGTGGTTATTTTCACAGTCCTGTACGCCGTCGCGATGCTCGTAGCATTTTCGGGGAATGGTTTCCTCATCTATATCGTGTGGAAGAAACCTGAAGTAAGATCGCTGACAAGCTTCATGTTCGTCAACATGGCCATCGCTGATTTGCTGGTGACGTTGGTTGTGATGCCCTGGTCGATTTCCCAACTCTATACAGACGGTTTATGGATGATACCGGGAATATTGGGAAAAATCACGTGCAAATTTATCGTATACACTGCCTTTGTCACTATAACAGCGTCCATCCTCTGCCTGACACTCATGGCAGTCGATAGGTATTATGCCATTGTTCATCCCTTCCGCCGCCAGCTTTGGTTCCGAAAGCCTAAACTGACAGTACCATTTATTTGGATCTTGTCATTGGCCTCTATGTCCATTTTCCCTGTTGTTCAAACCGTGGAAGACCACAATTCCGAATGCACGCTATCTGTTTACGTTTTGGGTGATCCATTCAGGGCCCTGCGAGGGATATTCCTATTCCTGGTAGTGGTCAACTATCTGATTCCTTTGACTGTTACTTCTGTCATTTATACTATTACCGCATGGAGGTTATGGTTCCATGTTGCACCTGGAGTGGAACATTTGACAGGAAACCGAGAGCGCCTTGAAACCTCGAAGAGGAGAGTTGTTAAGATGCTCATCATTGTTACCTGTACCTTTGCCCTTTGCTGGCTCCCAGCACAGGTGGTTCACATGATATTTGTCATGCAAGCATGGAATATTGAGGTAACTCTTCAGCCGATTGTCATGTTTGTGTGTTTTTGGTTTGGTCACTCCAACAGCGCCATCAACCCATGGCTTTACATATTCCTCAGCAGCAAGATCAATACGGCATTTACAAGAATCATCAGTAGAAAAAGCAGCCGGTCGCCTCTGAGTCTCAGTATCAAAACATCAAATTCCTTTTTACCACCTGAAGACGAAGCTGTCCAGAAAGAGTCAACACTGTAATCTCTCTCATAACATGGAAGATGTGTCACCAGTCTTGATAATTGTACTTAGAAAGCGAAACTTTCTTAAAACTTATTTCATATGACACCATATATACAGTGTGATAAAGGTGATAAGCTAGGTAATTTAATGTGACATTGATAAATTCAAGTGATTTAGACAACTGATTTAGACAACTGTTCTGTCGCAAAGTGAACTGTACGTAGGAGGGAATGGTCTTTAATGGATAATTACTGAGGCATATGGCATTATGAGAAATATTGCAGCCAGCTTCGGCCTACGGCCTCCGCCGTAATTACTTCGGCCTACGACCTCAGCTGGCTGCAATATTTCTCAGAAATGCCATGTGCCGAAGTAATTATCTATTATAATTCTCGATCCCCATGAAATCCTATTGTTCTGTGTCTGTGTTGGATCTTCGATTTTAGTCGCACCTGTGTGTGATGATTGTGATGCTCACTGCTATTGTTCTTTGTTGTGATGAATATATCTTAGATTTTAATTGTGCCGAGGTTGTTATTGTAGCTCGTTGTTATAGTTGTTCAAAACAGTTCTAAAGATTGAATTAATTCGTGCAAGGCGTGTAACACTGCTAATTTGCATACTTTATAAGCCAGAGAATTCAGTCATATTACTCATTGCGAACCTGGGTTTAGAAAGAAGATGGATTCGTCGGAAGACGATGGATTATTTATTACACAGAGCTCTACGAAGCCAGATATTTCAGCAGAAATCGAAGATAATGTAATGTCACGTTTGGACATTTCTGTCAGTGCTTTAATTCTTTATCGACTTCTAAAGGCTGCGTTTCCATTTTCTTTTTTGAAATAGAGCAAAGATTTAGAACGCCAATTACAGCTTCAGAATGCGAGAAATTTGAAAAAAGTTGAGTTTGGAAGGCCAGCCGCCGGAAATGGGCGTGGGTTTTAAGAGTCTTTGAGGAGTGGAAGAAGCAATATTTTTAATAATTGTAACCTGCACACTGCGATATTTTTAATATTGTATTGCAGCCTGCACAATGCAATATTTTTGATATTGCAACATGCTTATTTAGCGTGTTTAATTATATTACCCCTGATAATTTCCCTGCTAACAAAAAGGACCGCCTCCGTTTTTCTCATACAGTTGACTGTATGAGAAAAAGACTACAATCGTTGATTTAATGCAGAGAGAGAGAACAATAGAATTTCATGGGGATCAGTAATTATAATGATGGAATTAATTCGTGTAAGGCGTGTAACACTGCTAATTTGCATACTTTATAAGCCAGAGAATCCAGTCATTTCTCTCCGTGCGAACCTGGGTTTATAAAGAGGATGGATTCGTCGGAAGACGAAGGATTATTTTTTACACAGAGCTCTACGAAGGCAGATAGTTCAGCAGAAATCGAAGGGCACTGCACTAATCAACTCTCTCAGGCGTTCTTGTGCTATGATGGTGGTGTTTAAGAACAACTTATCTAACAAACGACTGGTCATCGGTCTTCTGATGGAGTCAGAGCATAAAAATGTACCTCATCAGCACTCAAAAGGGAAGCAAGCGAAATTTTGCAGAGTTCTGGTTCTGTCCTCGTGTACCGGTTCACAAGAGCCGATAGAAAAGACCGAACAATACACAACAGCTAACCAATGACTCCTAAACAAAGAAAGAACAATGGTAATTCCCTTGTGAACCGGCACACCAGGACAGAACCAGAGTTCGCCACTTCCCCATTTTCAGCCACGTAAAGTTGTTGTTGTCTTTTATTTTTAGGAGAAACAAGGAGAAGACAATTAACACCATATTTATTTACAATTTCTGTTTCTCATTAGTTTGTCATGGCCCTGAAAGCCACATTCGGGGAGTGGTCGACCAATTAGGTAAACAGTACAATATGATTATTCAAATAAAGCTTCGCGGTTATATTACCAAAGTGCGTCCTAAACAATCCTATGAATATGGCTTAAGGAAATAAATCCAAAGAAATAGAGCTATCGGAGTAAGATATCGTGCCCTTCTATTTGGAGTCGAGCACGCTAACCACTTGGCCACCCCATCTACCTTGAGGTTCCTTTAAATGATTTTGTTTTTAATTATAGTTTCGTAAATAGTTCAAGCTTGTACAAAACACTCTTGAAAATGTAAAAAGAGGAAATTAGGTTAATGCACAGGGCGTTGGACATCGAGGAGGGAATCGAAAAAATCAAGAAGCAACGGCTTCCAGTGTTGTTTTGCTCTATTTTTATTTTCTTTTGCTATTGTTTTGGTTCTCGATTTTGACAGCAAGTTATCTCTGGAGGCAGTTAGAGTTTAAGACTCAAAGTTAGCATGCAAATCTTTCATTGTTATCAATATTGTAGAAATAGTTGTCGTCAAACGAGGTATTCGACAATGATATTGAGAATTTGCCGGTAAGTGCGCACGAAGAGTACAATTGCCTTCTGCAGTATAAACTTAATTAGGTTTCTTTTATTCATAATTTCTGCATTGATAATTAAGAATCGTTCCTCACAGTTTTCCTAACTCTAGACCAAAAAATAATAGATTCAATGCCTTTGATCCATTTAAGAGCGGTTACCGGTGACAGAGAATAATTTCGCATTAACTTTGTAATTTTATTGTAACTCGATTCTATGCGGTTATGAAAATAAATCATCTCACTCGCCAAAGTAAAGGCAGGTTGATAGCTTTAATTGAGCCTTAAGCTTAACCAAAATTTACATATTTTACCTACGTTACAAGTTATTGCATTGGAACAGTTTTAAAAGGGCCTTTGTAGTAGCTTCAATTTGCGACAGGCTAACGAAATAAAAGACGGTAAACCATCGGACTAAGAAATCGTATCTTCTTTCTACGTGGAGTCGAGCGCGTTAAGCATCATGCCACCCGCTCTTACTTAATATTCTCCTTTCATGAACGTGTTTGTTGGTAAATAATCCCCAGTTTCCTACGCAGAAAAAAGTTAATGAAAACTGGGCTGCACTGTTCTTGTTCCTCTGAGCTAATTTTTCGAAAACTCCTCAATTTCAAAGTTTGGAATGTTTTTATCAACCAAATCTTTCATAATTCATAAATATATCCCATGAGACATTTTGTTGTGTTGCATCGCTGAGTATTTTTACGAGTTGTGCCGTATTTTGACGAGCCCTAATAACAGAACAATTTGTTCAGCCGACGTTTCGAGCGTTATCCCTTCGTCGGAGCAAATAGAGGAATTGTGGGTTGTGTGTGTTTTTAAAGGCAGAAATGGAGCTACGTTATTGGTGGGAACATGGCATCATGAAAAACACGAATAAATTAGTGGAATGAAAAGCGTTGGTTGATCCCTGTGGGATTTAGACAGCCGGTTTGAAAGATAAGCTTTTGTTCAAGAGTTTTACGGCTTTCCGTGTTACCTAAGTGTAAGGAAAGACCGCAGATTGCCATATGTTGCTTGGAATGATTAGGTAAATTAAAGGGTCTAGCGACTGGTTTCGATGTGTCCTTGTCATTCTTTTCCACGTTGCGAAGGTGTTCTCGGAGTCGGCCACCTAGTCTTCTGTCTGTTTCACCGATGTATATCTTTTTGCTTTTCATCCACTAATTTATTCGTGTTTTTCTCGTTGCCATGTTGCCACCAATAGCGTAGCTCCATTTTGTGCCTTTAAAAGCACATACAACCCACAATTCCTCTAGTCGCTCCGATGAAGAGCTAACGCTCGAAACATCAGCTTTTGTAATCGTTACGGTGGCTAATTTACCATTTCAACTTTGA